AGTCGCCTATGACGATCACTCAACGCTTTCTCCTCCAGGACTACTTAGTTCCTTTGGCCTGTTCGGAGCATGGAGAATGTGGAGTTGCCTCCTCTCCAGTTACCTCCTCTCCCTCCTTCTCCAGTGTTGCCAGGGCCTTGTACCTGTTCTCCAGCCGGACTGGAGGAACTGGTACTGCTATGTTACAAGCAGCCCTGGTTCTGAAGGTGACCATCTGACACTCTGCAGTGGAGGGCACTTCCCGAGGTGCTTCTTCCTTGGGTGTGTGGCCCTGCAGGGAAAAGAAATAGCTGTCAGTTTCTTCCTCCACCTCTCTGATTGATTCCCCTCAGCCTGCTAACCTTCTCCTGGAGCTCCCTCACCTGCACCTCCAGGACCCTAAGGCGGGTGCCTGCAGGACAGGTGTGGGGGTCCCCAATCCCTGCCCCGGCAGGCCAGGGTGTGGGAGGATGCCAGCTCCCCCATGGGCTCTGTCTGTGTGGAGGCCTCAGACAAGCCCTGGGTAGGCTGCTCCCCCTGGGCAGGGGCCCTGGCAGCACTCTGCGTCAGCATCATCATAGGAGTTGCTGCTTGTTTTTAGCTTAGTGCAGTTCCTCTGCCCTGCCCTAGTAGGAGTCTCCCTGCTGGCCCTTCCTGCTCGCCCGCCGGTGCGAATGCTGACGCATACGCCGGCACGCTCTGTTCGTGCAGCACGGCTTGGGAGTGCGGCTCCCTACTAGCTGAGCTAAGAGGGAGCCGGGGGGCTTCCCCTCCAGATCCGGCTCAGCTGCGTCCGGTCCCTCTGCCCACTTACCTTAATGCTCATTAAATTTAGTGCCTCAATTGTGAGGTACTGAAAAAAGACTCATTAGCTTTTTTAATGTGTATGAGTGAAAGCACATGGTTTTTGTAGTGCTTTAATGTGCATTAAAATAAGATAATGCTCATTAAAGGTCACATGTAGATGTGCCCAAAGTATGTTGTACTTGAATAGGTCACAATTCTTATCTAATCTTCTCATGATACAAACAGCAGGTCACATGTAAATTTCATTGTCACAGACTGGAGTTGTAAAAGGCTGGACTATTTGTTGAGGAATTGAGAATAAAGTCCTGGTAATACTGGATGTGCTGCTTGTATACAAATTGTATACAAATTGTCCCAGTACTGCTTTCATTGCTGTTGGTAGCAACTGTGTGGTACCAATTATATGTTTAACATCACAGCGAGTGGGGACAATGCCCTGAATAATTATAGTATTAAGTTTAGAGAGCCATGTAAATTCCTGCCCTGCTTGCAGAGAAATGTAGAGGCAAAATTTAGGAAAATCCCCCTTTTAAAAAGAAAAGCACAGCAAGTTAAATTTGATAATAAAGATTTTCAGACGTTGCTGTCAGTGGGCATGTCTACATGTGCAATTAATGCATCTGAATTTTCTCCCCAGAAAATTCAGGCTCATTAAAGTGCTCCCAGGCAAACGTACATAGGTGCCTGTGTTGGGAGCAAATTTGCACCCAATAGGAGCAACCAGGTCTAGGATAGCTCCTTCCCTGCTCTGTCCCCCTGCAGCATCCAGGGGGAGTCTGCCCATCATCTGTGTTGCCAGCTGTGCTGGCTCCCCTCTGTTCTCTAGTTTTTTGTGTTTTCCCTCCAGACTCCTAACTAACCAAATTCTTAATTGCAGCCAAAGCAAAACATCCAAGAGATTTTCAGTTTTGTATTTCAATCCAGCATCCAAGCTATTATCATCCCTGCTCTCTGACATGTTTGACATAATGTCCCATCCTGGACTTGGGAATGGGGAAAGGGGAACATAAAGCAAATAGAAAAATGGGAGGTTCCACCAGTTCGATATAGGATATTGCAGCAGTGCTCTGAGCTTTCTGGGCAGTGGCTAATGACAAGTGTTCAGAAAGGAATTCATGAAAAGATAGGATACACCATGGTTTCTCAGATATGCTTTGAGTGATAGCATTCTGTTTTGCTGAATTCAGCGGAGCACACAGGTGTGTTAATACAGTTGTGTGTTTTGTTGCTATGCTCTGGTCCTGTTTCCAAAATAAGGATAACATAGCAAAATGGATGAAGAAACTGTTTAACAATGGGTGCATCTACACATGCAGTTAATTTGAAGCAATAAACTCCGGAGCAGTTTGAGCCAAAGTAAACTATTCCTGGGTGCAGCATCTACAAATGCACTCAGGACAGTAGCAATGTAAGGTAGGGTGGACCAGTTTATACCAGGGCTACTCCTGCCCTGCTCTGACTCTAGGTTCAGGTGACAGCGCTGGGCAGTGGAGGGGCTGGCTGGGGCACAAGAGTGCAAAAAGTGCAGAGCCATGTGGGTAGGCAGCAGGCAGGTCCCCTACTGGCTTAGTTGAATGGGTGCAATTTATGCCCATGGTCAACATCTACACGGGTGCGTAATCACAGTTAATTATTCCACCATAACATACTACTGTCCCCAACTTACCACTACCTTACCACGGTGTTCATTAGTTTACTGTGGCCTTAATACTGTCACATATATAGATGGTGGTGCTTTACTTTGCAGCTAATTGGTCTTCTCTGCAGTAAAGTGCACATGTAGACAGCCAGTGTGAGCTAGGTTAGGCATCTGATTCAAATCTAGTGTGGGCAAGGAGCAAATTAGTAAATTCCTGGAGTTGTAAAGGATATTGAAGGTCATCTATTTTTCTCCTCTGCATAATTTAGGATTGGCTATTCCAAAACCATCCCAAACAGATACTTATATAACCTTTTCTTGAAAACCTCCTATCAAGGAGATTCCACAACTTGTCAGCTTGTTCCATAGTCCTATTTTTTTTACAGCTAGGAAGCTTTTCTTTAGACATTCCAAATCTTCATTGCTGCACTTTAAAGCCATTGCCTTGCATCCAGCCTTCTATAGTAAGGGAAAGTAGTTGTTCCTTGAAGTTTTTCAGGTATTTTAAAATAACCACTATCATGTTCTCCCCTAATCAACTTTTTTCTCCAAGTCAAATTCTGGTTTATTTAGCTGCTTCTACCTTTCCTTACACAGTGAGCTCTCTCCCTCTTTTATCCTCTTATTTACTCACTTTTGGCTCCTCTCACTTCCTCTATAGCTTTTGTAATGTGATGCCCAGACCTGGACACTGTATGCAAGTAGAGTGTAAATACTTACAGTATTTTGCATACATGCTTCTGTTAATGCAATTCACATGTTCACAGAAGTTTAGGGCTGGGAGGAACCTCGTGAGACCATCGGGTCCAGCCCCCCTGCTCTCGGCAGGAAAGAGCGCTGGGGTCAAACAACCCCAGCAAGGTGTGCTTCCAGTCTTCTTTTGAAGATCTCCAGGGTAGGTGCCTGTATCACCCCTGCTGGGAGCTTATTTCAGTGTGTGGTCACGTAAACTGTGAAGAAGTTTTTCCTTATATCCAGTCTGAAACCTTCTTCTAGGGGTTTGTGACTATTGCTTCTGGTTTTCCCTTGGGGTTCTTTGGTGAATAGTTGTTCACCTAGACCCTGATGCTCTCCCCTGGTATATTTGTACGCTGCCACCAAATCCCCCTGTAGTCTTCTCTTTTCTAGGCTGAAAAGTCCCATATCGGTCAGCCTTTTCTCATATGGCTTGCTCTTCAGGCCTCTAATCATATGAGTGGCTCTTCTCTGGACCCTATCAAGCTTCTCCACATCCTTCTTGAAGTGTGGCACCCAGAACTGGATACAGTACTCCAGCTGTGGCCTCATCAATGCCGAGTAGAGTAGGAGAATAACTTCCTTGGTTTTGCTTGAGATGCATCAGTTGATGCATGCCAGCATATTGTTTGCTCTGCTAACTGTAGCATCACACTGGTGGCTCATATTCATTTTATGGTCAACTATGACCCCCAAGACCCTTTCGGACATGATGATAGCTAATGTAGCACCACCAAGCCTGTAGGTTTGTTGCAGATTTTTCCTCTCCTCATGGGGCACTTTATACTTCTCAGTGTTGAACAGCATCTGGTTCTGGTCCACCCATATAACTAATCTGTCTAGGTCTGCCTGGATTATTATGGCTGCACTTCCCCAGAACTTAGTGTCATGGCCAGGCCGGGCCCTTCCACCCACAAAGGTGAGAGTGAGACACAATAGGATATGTTGGCAGGAGGTGTGTATACATGGGTGCCTCGCTCCCACCCTCATGGGCGAAAGAGCTGGGCTGGGTACAATTAGTTGGTGGGCTTCACGGTCCAGATGAAAGTGCCTGGTGGGCACTTTTTCTGTGTCTTTTTTTTGTGTGTCTTTTTGTGTCAGACCAACACGGCTACCAAGTACACCCCTGAAACACCTTCTATATGTCTTTTTTGAATTTCATTTTGTCATCCAGAGCTAACTTCTGCAATATGACAAGGTTCCTTCAAATTTTAATTCTGTCCTCCTAAGTATTTATAATCCATCCCAGGTTTGTGTCTTCTACAAATGTACTCTGTAAATTCTCTATTCCTGCAACCAAATAATTAATTAAAATGTTAGATAGCACTGGACCCAGAACAAACTCCTGTGGAAACCCAGACACTGGCCATACTCTGGTCCCTTTATAGTTTCTCTTTGCTTGAAGTTATTCATCCAATTATTAGGGATATCCATAAATCGCGGAGGAAGTGTTCCCCCTCCCCCCGCAGTGGCTCCTTTAATTTTTTTCATTTTGCCATTTCCCCATCCCAGCTCTGATTGGCAGAGGGGCCCCACTTGCTGAGCCATTTGCCCCGATCACTGAGGAAGCAAAAAGTTGCCATGGTTTTTGCCTCCCCAACGCTGATTGGTAGAGGGGCCCTGGCAGCCCCACTGCTTGCTGCTAAACCTGATCATGATTACTATGCAAAAAAAGAACTGGAAAAATAGACATAATTTAGTTCTCCTTCAGTGACTGTAACATTGAATTTTCATGTCTTCTTACAGAATATTCTAGGAAACACATCAAAAAGAAGCCAGCTTGTGTGCATTTCCATTGTAGTAAAGAAAATGGTGGAAACAGAGCAAAACATGCAACTACTACAGAAGTGGATGGTGAAAAGCATAAAAATCAGACTGCAAGGGCAAATGGTTCCTTTGGACATGGCAACAAAAAGCAAAACCCTGCATGTAGGCCAACCAGTGCTGGGGATAAATTAAGAGATCAAAGTCAATCTACATTGGGTGGCAGAAGCCAATGTGAAGAAACAGCAGCTTGTTTACAGAACCTTAATTGCACTGATGGAAAAGCAAGGAATTCAAGGCAGTGTGAAACTGCCTCAAGCAGCAAAATGCAGCAACTGAGAGCAAGAAGTAGACAGTTAAAGGATGAGAGGTGTTCTCCTGCTGGTTCCAGCAGGCCTGGAAGTGCTAGAGTGGGGTCTGGAAACATCAGAAGTACCAGCTCAGGTGGCACAGTGAAATCTATCCATGTGGCAAATGATGAATTAAAAAAACGGGCCCGCCCTTTATTGTCTGTTGAGGTAGGAATTACAAGACTGGTGCCAAGCGATACAGCAACGTGTGCTGTTTCTGAAGACAATCTGGACTTGGAAAAAACAGATCAGTCAGGCCCTCTTCCAACATGGCCAAGTATGCATAACGAACTCATTCCATTAGAGGTACGGATACAGATAATAGAAAAGGAAAGAACAAGAAAAGAGCTGTTTCGGAAGAAGAACTATGCTGCTACCATTATTCAAAGAGCATGGAGAAGGTAGGAAAATTCTTAAAACGGGAAAGAGAAAAAGGCACTGACACATACCTATAATTAGAATTGTTTAGGAACTTGTTTTATTTGGTCCTCTTCCCCATAACATTGCTCACTAAGAAATCATGGTTTTCATCATCTTTTACCCTAAATGAGTGGAAATTTGTGCTACTGGCAGCATAAAAATGGAAGGTAATAAAGGACTGTGATAGTTTATTATAATTCTATTTAAAAATGGGTATCACTTAGCAGCTGACAAATCTAGGCAAGTATCAGCTCAGGACTTACTGATGAAAGGTTTTAGACTTCTTTCTTGGGAAAGATTTTTACTGCCAAATGAGGCGTAGATATGCTGGAGGTAGGGCTAGGATTCAGAGAGACCTAGACAAATTGGAGGATTGAACTACAAGAAGTCGCATGAGCAGGGATCCAGATTTCGCATTTCCCACGGAAAAATGAAGAAAATGTAGATTTCCCCTTTTACCCAAGAAACACACAGATTTTTTTTTTTTATTTTAACAGAGAAATGTGGATTTTGCATCTTTGGAAAGAGCTCTCTGCAGGCTGGCAGAGTTCTAATCTGCAAGGAGCTGTGGGGAGTGGGGGGAGCAGTCAGGCAGGGGGCACCTTGTGCATGTACATGCAAACTGGAATTATGCCAGCCTGCAAAGCTCTTTGCAAAAGTGGGAAATTCACTGGTATCTCTGCTAAGAGGCAAAATCCGTTTTTTTTTTCTCTGATAAAATTAGGAAATACATGTTTTTCCTGTTTTTCCATGGGAAATGGAAAACCCGAATCCCTGTTGATAACACAGTGTTTATCACCCCATTAGGAAAACAACAGAGGGACATTGCCAGCTGCCTGTTGATTCTGCCTGTTGACTCAGCACGGACCTTAGCTAAAACACAGACATCTTTCATGAAGGCAGAGGGGAGAGGGGAATTCCTACTTAGCAAGGAGTGGTAAGGGGGAGGGGGAAGGCAATTCACAGTCTCTGCTGGAGCTTCAGCCAGGGCACAAAGGGGAGGGGCCAGCTCTGCTATGAAGCAGAGAGCCCCGCCCAGCCCAGAGAGCATGCTGGAATGCTGGGGGAGTCTGGTTTATCTTAAACCAGCAAGGGGTCTGGGACAGACATTGCATAAACCAGTTTGACCCAAATAAGTTAAGTCAACTACATTCAACCAGGCTTATCTCAAACTGGTTTCAGTCATTTTCAAACTGGCTTATGTGCACCAAACATCTGTTCTATTAAGGTTTAAACCAGTTTCTGATCACTGAGGGAGTGGGGGGTGCTGCGAGCCCCAGATGACATATTGCAGCTGGCAGCAGGACCAGGGAGTGAGGGCAGGGGTGCCCCTCTGCGGGGGGGCTTTGCGAACAAGCGATGTGGGGCCATGTGCGTGCCTCGTGCGGGCCACACACATGCCGCCTGCCCAGAGGAGGAGGAGAGGGAGCCTAGCATGTGGCCAGAGCGCAGCTCCGTGGCCAGCTCTGCAGCCATGGTGTGGGATGGTGGGGGGCTTGCACATGGCAGCTACTGCCCCTTACTTGGAGGGCCGTAACGGCCACTGCCTACAAAACCGCCCATTGCCGCTGTGGAGCCGTGCCCGGAGCTGTGTAGCCAACTGCCAGGCAGCAGCATGGTGGTGGTCGGGTGGCACGCAGCCATTCCCACCACCACCCCCCACCGCGCCACTGCCTCTGGCTGTACAGCTCCGGGCATGGCTCCATGGAGGCAGTGGGAGGTTTTGTAGGCAGCAGCCATCACAGCCCTCTGGGTAAGCGGCAGCAGCCGCCAGGTGCAAGCCCAC